TATGTATTGAACTTCAACATCAAGAAAACAAAGATTCTCACCACTGGGTCGCTTGGCAGCATCATGATAGATGGTGAAGAGATTGTTGACAGCTTTAGGTTGTTTGGTTCCACGATCAACACTTTTGTCACAGGCAGCCAAGAAATTAAAAGATAAATTGCACTAGGAAACTCTGCTTTCAGAGACCTCTTCAAAGTACTGAAGAACAATGATGTCACTCCGGAGACTAAGATGCAGGTTTGATCTTTGCATTTACTTGCTATTGGTAATCTGGACAATGACTAGGGATGATAGAAGGAGAATTGATGCCTTTGAGATGTGGTGCTGGAGATGAGTATTGAATATATCATGGACTGCTTAGGAGAACTAATAAGTTCATCCTGGAGAGGGTGAAGCCAGGCTGCTCCTTGGAGGTAAAGAAGATTCTGAAGCTTCATCTGACCTATTTTGGACATGGTACAAGGCAGGATCAGTTCTTGGAGAGGGACATCATGCTTGGGAGGGTGAAGGAACAGCGCAAGAGAGGAAGCCCCTCATTCTGGGCTCCTGTAATGACAATAATACCTAATCACATATCCCTTTTAAACAGTTCTCTCCCTCATCTGTTTCAATGCAGCATACATTATTGAACCCATCTTTCTCAGTCTCCCCCAACCCCGAGGTCAGTCCTGTTTTACAACAGTGTCACCATGCAGTATTTGTCCTTTTGTGACTGGGATATTTCACTCAGCATAGTGTCCTCCAGGGTCACCCATTTTGAATAATATTTCATGAGTTCCTTGTTTTTCAATACAGCACAGTATTCCATTGTGTGAATATACCACAGCTTCTCTATCCATTTGTTAGTTGTTGGGCACTTAGGTTGTTTACAACTTTTTGCTATTGTGAACAAAGCCACAATAAACATGGGTGAACATATGTCTGCTTGGGTGGCTGCATAGTGGAGTGGACTTGGAGGGAGGGATTGTATAACAATGAGAGAATTTTTCTTTACTTTTCAAAGAGAAGAGCTAACTGGGGGTGGGGGAAGAGTGGGCCAGGAGAAAAGTGCAACAATGAATGAATAGAAATCCAGAGCTGCTGTAAATTTTCATTAAAGTTAGTAATAATAAAAAACAATTTTTTAAAAGAAAGGAATTGAAACAGATGAGGAGAGAACAGTTTAAAAGCGATATATGATTGGATATTATGATTATGACAAGAGTCCAGAATGAAGGTTGCATAGTGGAGTGTACTCAGGGCAGGGGGATTGTATATCAATGCAGAACTTTTTCTTCTACTTTTCAAGGAGAAGAGCCAACTTGGGGCGGGGGGGGGCGGGTGGACAGAGAGAAAAATGCAACAATGAATGAATGGAAATATAAAATCTCTGTAAAATGTTCATTAAAAGTAATAAAATATTAAAAAAGAGAGAGAGAGAGAGAGGAAGACCCTCGATGAGATGGATTGATTCAGTGACTGGGGTGATGGGGTAGGTATGTCAGAGTCAATAAGATTGGTACAGGATGGAGCAGGTTTATGGGCTGTAGTACACAGGGCCACTATGAGTTGCAGGTGACTCGGTGATGGCACATAACAACAACAATGACAATGTGTTTACTCATATTCTTGATACGTCTCAGTGTAAAACAAATTGCAGTTATTATTTAGTCCGCCTTGGAAAATAAATGTTATCCTGAAATTAAAATTCAATTAAACTGTTCTGTAAACTTTGAGTTAGTTATGTAATGTCAATGATCAATGACAATTCTGATTTATCAGAGTTGTAAGAAGCACCAGTTAGAAATCCTCGTTATGGTCACTCCCTCTTCCTTGGTTTCTACTTTTGCTAAATACCTCCAGTAGAAATTTCAATATATCCCTGAAGTTAAGTAAATTCCATAACTTCAGAAATATATTTAAGGACCATTTTATAATTTTGAGTGACTTCTCGTGATGTATCTATCAGTCAGGATCTAATTAGGAGATACTAATAGACTAATTTAAACTTAAAGTCTTTGATATAAAAAAGATTCCCTATTATAAAGATGTGAATGTAAGAGTTGAACTCGGCTCATAACTGACCTTTCAGGAGGTTTTCAGAAATTGTAAATCACACAGGAGGAGACTGCCCATATTTGTCCTATGGAAAAGTTGGTGGATTTGATCGATCTGATTCTGAGGTGGCAGAAAAACTCCTTACCCACTAGGCCTCCAGTGCTTCCTTGGTAGTCCAAGGGGGTTGCACTGCTAATTCAAAGGCCCATCCTCTCTAGAGGCTGTAATCCACCCAGGTTTGACAGGAGAAAGAGTGATAAACTGCTCCTTTACAATATACATTAGAAACCCAGTGGAGGGCCAGCTATGAGTTGGTTCTTACTCAGTGGCAAGAAATGAGTGTTATCTATTTATGATAACTTTTTTTAAGAAATTGCAGTTAAATTAAGTGCAGGAGGACTGATCTTGTTTACTAAATATTTTCAGCATCTAACATGGTGACAGGCACTAGAACATCCATATACACTTAAGTAAATGAATTTTCTGTGCATGTATGGAAATGAATTAGAACAGAAGTTGTTTGTAGGTAAGTTTTCTTTATCATTGAAATATAACAGGAAGGCAGAATCTGTGAAAGAGTTGTATTTGTGTGACATTAGGTATAGAGTCAACCGTGAGTGTTGGTAGTTGTCATCATGTTGATTCCAACTCTTGGACACTCCATATCTGGAGAGTGGAGCCTGCTGCACGTTGCCAGTGTTGTGACTCTCAAAGGCATAACACCAGGCCATTTTCTGAGTTACCTTTAGCTGGGTTTGAATTGCCAACTTTACAGTGTATTAAAGGTAATAAACTCAAAGACTCACAGCATGTTACTGTATGTAATACTATTATTTTGAAGAATCACAGAACATCTAATAAAGGGGAAAAATATTAATGATTATTTTGTATTCAAAGAGTGGTTCCTCAGGAAGGCAGTGGCTTTTATGAGGAGCCACAGTGACAAGATCTAGGCTGCTATCATTTTTAGGATCAGTGATGACTGTTATTTTAGATGGGAGACCCTTATTGTTATCCCTGAGAGGAAAGGTACTCTTGATATTGTGGAAAATTCAGTAAGTTTCATTTATTGAAGATATATCTAATTTGATTGAAGGAGAAAGCTTAAGGGATGACATTTGTATCATGTATGTGTTAAAGATGTTTATTTATGAAAGAAATCTTAGAGTGGGAAAAAAACATTGTTAGGAGACAGGAGACTAGTATTTTGAGTAAAATCTTAACAGAGTATACTTGCTACTTATTTGGAATCCAAATTACCACATATTAGCAGTTTAACTCATCACCATTCTGACCATAAAAAGCCAGAACTGCCTTATAGAGTTTCCAAGGCTACATTATTTTACAAAAATGGGTTGTCACATTGTTCTCTCTCAGAGCATCGAGTAGGTTTGAACCTCCAGCCTTTGGTTGGCAGGTGGGAGATTAACCACTGCCTCTTTAGTTGATCTAAAAGAAGGTGACTAAAGAAAATAGTAGAAATGAGAAAGGGATAGGGTAAGTGCAATCTTAAAATCAGTGAATCTGTGTATCTATTGTATGATAGTATGATATCTATTGTTTGTATCAATAATCTATTTTCTGTCGACTTTGTGCTCCCTAAAATATAGACCCATTGCTGTTGAGTGGGTTCTGACACATAGCTACCCTTGATCAAGTTTCTGAGGCTGTAAATCTTTGTGGAAGGAGACTGCTCATAGTTCCCCAGTGGAATTCATGAAGATTTGAACTGTCAATGTTTCTGTTAGCAGAACTTACACTGTAGTAGACTAACAGAGTATCTTCTACAAGATACAAAAATTTTGCCAATATTACCCAGATATTCTTATTTTACTATCAAGATTTTTCCTTATTATCATTATTAAAGAGTATCTTTTTTTCTAACAAAAAGCACGTTCTATTCTCACTAGTAAGAAAAAAATGGTACAAATGAATATGTATTTAATGACTATATATCCGGTTCATCTCCCTTAGCATCTAGCTTCAATGGGGGGTGTGTTTGCGCGCGTGTGTGTGTGTGTGTGTGTGTGTATATATACATACACACGTATATAGTGTGAATAATGCAAATGAACTTACCCCTTTATCGAGAAAGTACTCATGAGAAATATAGACAGTATAGACAGTCTCTTTTCATAAAGATTGGCAGCCTCAGACCCCCCTCAGATAGAGGGTCACCATGAATCAGAATCAACTGGCTGGCAGTGGATTCAGTTTGGTTTTTATTGAGATTTCACTGACAGTCTGGTATCCGTTTTAGGAAAACACAACTTTTGGTGAATTGTTTCTTGACATTTGTACTGTATTTGAACTAGTTCTTTTAGCTGGAAATCAAATCAGTACATACCTCCAAAATCTGAAGAATTCTCGAAAAGGGGGCCAATGATGGAGGTTAAAAAAAAAGGAATAGAAACAAGAATGCTCACAACAAAACCCAAAAAGCAGACCTAGAAGCTGTGAAGACAGCTGAATAGGGAGATGTAAAGCCCCTATGTTCTTATTCATTATTCACATATGCCTCATTCATTTGGATTCTATAGCATTGATAGTATAACAGTAGTAAAGGTAAAGCTGAGAATTGAAGCAAAGCTCAGTGCATTCTCTGTTGTTGGTAAGTTGGAACACTAGGGGACAGCACTAAAATATTCCATAGTTGGTTGTTATTGATCACTTGCATACTGTATAATAAGTAAAAGATTTCACTGTTAAAGACTATTGAATGTTCTGTTGATTTCAGTGGGTGAAAAAGCACAGAGCTTTTCAGGTCCATAATTTCAGCCTTTGTGAGAAGGTGATTTGAATAATTAAGCAAAAACTCCCAGAAACTACAAAGACAGTAGGACATAATAAAGAATTGGTGCTTATCTGTTAGGAGTGTTTTGCTTGCTTTATTCTACAGGGGTTAACATTGTGTGTGTGTGTGTGTGTGTGTGTGTGTGTGTATTCCTAATTTTATTTTTTAGGTACTTTGGAAAGACATGAAACAGGAGAAAGAGCAAGAATTATTCTTAATTGCTGTGATGATTCACAGCTTCTAAAACCTGAATCTGCACTTCCAGTTGCTTCGGAGATACAGAAGCACAGAATTGTAGAACAGAGGTCTTCCAGCTGCTACCAGCCTGGGCCAATGGCATCATCTGGTCTGCAGGTGGAGTCTTCAAGTAAGGTAAGTTCCAATCAGGCTGCTGTTCACAAGGAACATGACTAACACGAGTATGGAGGGTTCCCTTTTCCTAATAAACTAGTATTTTAAATAACAGCCAAAAAAACCACCCCCCAAAACCCAGGAACTCCAAGTTTACTGTATTTTCTAGACATATAAAGATAACTTTTGAGTAACAGTTACTTTTGTTGAATTCTTTTAGCAAGATGAAGTCAACAAGTACAAATCTATTCCTGGCTTGTCAAACTTGAGCCAATTTGGTCTTTAATTCCGTATGGTTTTCAAGGAGGAAGAATTAAAGCTATTTTATATGTTCTAGATCCATTTTTAGTTTTTATTTGAGGGCCTTGAGCTTCTTTTTTAAAATGCTTATTACAAATAAAGAAGTATCAGAAACACTAAATCATTGTACGGATAGATTTTTATCTTTCAGTATCCAGTGTGTCTGTTAGACAACCAGCTCATAAGCTTCCTAGTCTTGGTTAATGCACAATGATAGAGCTTGCATTTATCCTCATAAAACATGTCAACCAACTGAGCAGAAATTTAGATTAGCTTTATTACCTTTTAGTTCTAAATGTGATGTTGCTATTTAATCTGTTTTCTTTATGTGACTCTTTCCATATTTGTGTCTTCTGTATCTCCAGGATACACACACACACACACACACACACACACACACACACACAGAGGTGTATGCGTTATGTTGTTGTAGTAACTGTGGCCTTTACATATATAACATAGCATTTCTTTTCATGTGAATGTATTTTCATTACATACCCTAATATCTATATAGGCTATTTTAATAGCTATAATATATTATGGCTTCTATATTTACCTTTGGCTTAATATATGGATTAATTTTAATGTTTCATTTTTATGACTAATAAACTAAGACTTTTTTCATATTTCGGATTATTTATGATGGTATCATTCCAAAGAGGACTTTTTGAGTTAAATTTAGGTGATTTTTAGTTACATGTATTAGCATTTTTACTTTAAGATATCATCTTTAGTAAGGATTTTAGCGAAGACATTGTTGTATTACAAGTCTACATTTTATACTTAGAGGAAACAGTATGAGCCATCGTCTAGGGAAGCCATTGGCTGCTCAATCTATACCTCTATAGCCCAGATTCAGGATAGAGATGCAAATGTTTGATCTCCAGTTTATGTTTAGAGACTTAATTAGATTTTCTCCAGGTGACCTGACCACTAGCCAAACTCCAAGAAGTGGGCATATGAACTAATACAATAATTTTTTTTAAATTTACCAGTATAATTTTAATTTGAAATAGCTCTTAATTAGCATATTCTCACTGTAGCAAAGCTACAATAGGGCTGTGTTTTCTTGATGAGCACATAGTCACCTATGGGGAGATATGTGATCTTTATTTTATTTTATATGAAACTTTATTTTTATGCAAATAATTTATATATTACACATTTTGCTAATATTTCTGCATTATTTTCCTACAATTTTTCTATGTGATGGGCAGGTGATTTATTAAGACTTTGCACTATTTGCAGAATATACAGTATATCTTTGAGTTCTAAGAGTCTGTTTTCTTTCAGACTATCAGAGTATCCTATTCCTTAGTCAGGGGTCAAGACTTGAAAATTTTCTGAATTATGCGCCTTGCCTTTTAAACTCTAGACCAAGAAGTTTATCTTTTGCTTTTCAAAGAGAGGAGCGAACCAGGGGGAGGGGAGTAAAGAAAAAAGTGAAACAATGAATGAATAAAAATTCAAAATCTCTGTAGATGTTCATTAAAATTATTTTTTTTTAAAAAACCCCAAAACAACTCTAGATTGTTCAATTTTGGTTATCTAGCCTCCATCAGATTTTAACAGCAATGATTCAACTACATCTTTTTCTCTTTATTTATTCTAAATGGTTTTAGATTTTAAAAATATGATATTTGTGCTTTTAAAATAAAAGTCATGTATTTTAAAGACAGTTGTGCTATTACATAGCACTTTAATATTCACAACTGAGAAGAACAAAATAATGATAATGACGAGTCTTTGTAAAAGAAGACAGTAAACCACCCTTATGTACTTATGTACAATATATACACTATATTGTTTTTGTTATGTGCCATCGAGTCTCTTGTGACTCATAGTGACCCTATGTGCAAGAGCTCTAAATGCTGTTCTACACTGTGCCAACCTAGCCATCTCAAACACATTCATTCCCCCCTCTCCAGTCACAGAATCGATCCATCTCATCGAAGGTCTTTCTCTCCTGTGCCATCCCTCCACTTTGCCAAACATGATGTCCCTCTCCAAGGACCAGTCCTTCCTTGCAACATGCCCAAAATATGTCAGAGGAAGCTTCAGAATCCTTGACTCCAAGGAGCATTCTGTCTTCACCTTTTCCAGGACAAACCTGTTTGTTCTCCTAGCAGTCCATGGTATATTCAATACTCTTCTCCAGCACCACAGCTCAAAGGCATCAATTCTCTATCATCCCTATTCACTGTCCAACTCTCTGATGCATAGCACGTAATTGCCAAGACTATAGCCTGGATCAGGAACACCCTAATCTCCAGCCTGACGTCATTGCTCTTCAGTACTCTTGAAAGGTCCCTGACAGCTGACTTTCCCAATGCAATTCGTCTCTTGATTTCCTAGCTGCTGTTACCGAGAGTGTTGACTATGGATCCAAGTAAACTAAAACTGTTAACTATATCAATCTCTTCACCATTGATACTGATGCTGCCAATTGGCCCAGTGGTGAGAATCTTTGTTTTTTATTTTTATGTTGAGCTTCAATGCATATAGGAGGCTGCAGTCCTTGACCTTATTATATACATATATTGAGGGTACCATGGACTGCTAGGAAAACAAACAGATTCATCCTGGAAAGGGTCAAACCGGGCTGCTCCTTGCAGTCAAGGATTCTAAGGCTCTGTCTAACATACTTTGGACATGTTGCAAGGAGGGACCGGTCCTTGGAGAGGGACATCATGCTTGGTAGGGTGGACGGACAGTGCAGAAGGGGAAGGTCCCCTATGAGGTGGATTGATTCAGTGATTGGGGTAATCAGGATGGGTGTATTGGAGACAGTGCAATTTGCACAGGACAGAAAAGAGTTTAGGGCTGTTGTACATAGGGTCGCAATGAGTCACAAATGACTCGACGGCACATAACAACAACAACATATTCATATAGCATATTATAAATTGAGGTAAATGTTAGTACTCATGACTGGCATTAGACCACATGACTCCTTAGCATATTCATCTTCACATTGTTTTGTTGTCTTCCTTTTATAATAAAGTGCATTTTAATAGTACAAATTATATGCTAATTTGGGGATATCTCTTAAGTTGTGTATGAAGAAGCAGTGGTTAAAGTTTTCAATGGATAACTAGAAGTTGTTGTTGTGTACCAGTGAGTCGGAGCTGACCCATAGCTAACCCTGCAGCGGGTTTTGTCCATCCTCCTCCTGCAGAGCAGCTGGTGGCCTCGAATCATGTGCCTTTGGGATTGCAGCACACTTCTTGCCACTAGGCCACCACGGCTCCCAACAAAGTTAGTGGTTCGGATCTAGCAACCATGGTACTGAAGAAAGATATGGCAGTCTGCTTCCATAAAGATTACATAAACCAATGGAGAGTTCTATTTTAGGGACCCAAGTATAAATTGACTCCATGGCAACAGGGAGGGTCTATAAATGCAAATCTAATTCATCAAAACAGTTTTACTGGTTTAATTCTCAGAAGGTAAAATCAATTGATATTTAAGTTTCTTGGAGGATCTCAGAGTAATTCTTTATACTTTTAATAGCATTATAGATTTTATTACCTTTATATATTTTTATTTTTCTATTCCACAAAGCATTGAAATTTTTCCTCATCATTAAAAAGAGCTCTGTGGCCTAGTGACAAGAAGCTGCACTGCAATTTTGAAGGTACATGGTTCAAGTCTGCCAGCTACTCCATGGAGAAAGATGGGCAGTTTTTTCCCATGCTAGTAAGACCCTCTGAATAACTCACCAGAAGGTGAGATATGGGTCGGTTCTGACTTGATGGTACACAACAACAACTTAGTCTGATTAAAATTGTATTTCAGAATTACTGACTTTTACTTTTGATTGCTACATTTCTAGTTGATGTAATTGGAAAATAAATGAATTAGACCTGAAAGTTCAACCAGGATGCTCCTTACAGGGAAGGATGGTGAAACTTTGTCTCACATATTTTAAGCATGTTTTTAGGAGAGGCCAGTCCTTAGAATTGGCCATAACGCTGGGAAAGAAGCAAGGTTAAAGGAAGAGAGGACAACTCCTAACAAGATGGATTGACATAGCGACTGTAACATTGGAGTCAAGCATGTCAGAGAGGGTGAAGACGGTACAGAATAGGTGAAGGTTCAGATCGTTTGTTCACAAGATCCCTGTAAGTCATAGTCAACTTCATGACAACACATAAGCAGTAAGGAAGAATACTTTGCGTGAGAGAAGTATTTACAGTGGCTGCCAGAATAGGTTCAGACAGCCATAACTGTAAAGATGGTAAAGGAATAGGCAGTGTTTTTTTCTCAACTTGCAGGGGCTCTAACAGGTCAGAACAAACTTGGTGACATTTAACTACAAAATGCACCACCTTTATTCTCTGAGTTATACTTCTATTGAAATTTAACTTAGTAATTAGTCCTATTTTCATCCTTGCTGCCTAGAAGTGAAACTTTGCTTCCCAGTGATGTGTTGAATATTGTCCTTTAACACTATACATTTGTCCTCGAAACATTGTATCCTCTTAGATTGATGTTGTTATGTGCTGTTGAGTCACCTGTGACTGATAGCCACCTTATGTATAACAGCCCTAAACCCTGCCCTATCCTGTGCCAATTTTATTGTCTCTGACACACCTACCCCCATTTTCCCAGTTACTGAATCAATACATCTCATTGAGGGTCTTCCTCTCCTGTGCTGTCCCTCCACCCTCCTAAGCATAATGTTCCTCTATGAGGACTGGTTCCACCTTGCAACATGT